GTTAGCGGACCCCCATGTATTTCTATGGACTAGAGGATATAAATGTCTGTTTACATCCATTAATGTCCTCATCCGTTAACATCTGTTTTTTTTTTTTTTTTTTTTTTTTAATGGCAGAAAACCCTATTTTTTCTTCTGTTTAAAAAACCCCAAAAAAACAGATATAAATGGATTAGTGGAGGTAAAAGATATAAATGGATATGAAAACGAAGGATTTTGAAAATTTTAAAAAGAAAAACAAAAACAAAAAAACGCGACTGAACTGATGAAAAAAAAAAACGGAACGCCTGTGTGAAAGGACTCTTACTGACTTACCGGGGATGATTTACCAACATTAGAGAGTGCAAAATCTGGTTAGTTATAGTAAATCAACCCTACCATGTCGTCTTCTGTGCTTTGTCTATGCGGAGTTGGCCATCTTGGTAGAGGCAGAGCTTTCCTTCCACATGTCAGAGCTCCCCCCAGTGACTGGTGGAAGAAAACCTCAAGCAGCAGCCGGAGAGATGAAGGAATCACAGATCCACAATGAAAAAAAAAAGCAGAAGCAGGGAGATTCTTGCACGGCAGATCGTCGGGTACAGTTTTCTTTCCAGCAAGGAGAACAGTGAGCAGCAGAGTAGTGACATCATTACATCTGGTGGAAGTAGCAGTCTGAGGCAGTAGTGCCTTAGATGATCTCACACTGCAAGTGATGTCACACTGTAATGTGAGTTATTTTACAACATTGCTGCCTTGTCACCGCCTGCTAGTAACCGCCAACAGACTCCCTCCTTGGAACTAAAGGGGAGTGTTGTGAAAGCCTTTTTACTTTTTGTTTTTTATGTTGTGAGAGAGAAAAAGAAAGCAACTGCTGCTACCTACAGTCCCCTCAGAATTGGTGACGTTAGTAGTCATTTCCATGTTCATTGAGTGCTTTAGAAGTTCTTTAAAAGATTTTGGAGTTCCTTCTCTGCTGCGCTTTGAGTGCTTGGCAGACACTTGCCGAATGCCGGGAACATGGCCAACACGTGACTGAGCCGTACAGAGCTGTGGAGGGAATACTGAGAATGAATGTAACCTTCGTGTTCACGTCTGCGGAGAGTCTTTGTTGCTGGTGGTGTGGATGTCATCCTTTCATAATGGGCTGGTATGGTGGGTGTTGGGAGGTTTATTAATCCGATGACTTCTCTCTCTGGGGACACCAGCGGGGAGAGATCCGCGCCGAAAACTGCCGGGCCGTGCGGGGCGCTTCATATTGACAAGCAGTGTGCCGAGTGTAGGAATATCTCGGTTTACATGGAATGGAGCAGACATGAGATGTAACTTCCCACTGTGTTCAGTCGTCTTCTTTCTTTTCCTGTTTTTGTTTTTTCCCTTTTCCCTTTTTTTTTTTTACCCCCCCCTTCCCCCCCCCCCCCCTTTTTTTTCCCCCCTCTTTCCCCCCCCCCCCCCCCCTTTTTTCCCCCTTTCTTTTTTTTTTCCCCTTTCCCCCCTTTTCTTCTTTCCCCTCTTCCCCCCCCCCCCTTTTTTCCCCCTTTCTTTTTTTTTTTCCCCCTTTTCTTCTTTCCCCTCTTTCCCCCCTTTCTTCTTTCCCCGGTGAAGCCGGCGGGGAGGCGCGCAGGGGAGGTGCGCGGTAGTGGTGAAGCAGGGGGGAGGCGCGCGGTAGCGGTGAAGCCGGGGGGAGGCTCGCAGAGGAGGCGTGTGCGGTAGCGGTGAAGCCGGGGGGAGGCTCGCAGGGGAGGCGTGTGCGGTAGCGGTGAAGCCGGCGGGGAGCCGTGCGGTAGCGGTGAAGCCGGCGGGGAGCCGTGCAGCGAAGCCGGGGGGAGGCTCGCAAAGGGGGGCGTGCGGTTGCTGTGAAGTCAATGGGAGGCAGTTGTGGAGCAGCCGGGCTAAATGTAGAAATAACCCAACCTGTCCGGGGCATGGATCTGCTTGCGTCGAGCAATATGATTTGCACATCCCCGGGGTGGGTGGGGTCAGGGGCGGGGTCTTAGGCGGGGAAACCAGAATATAAGTAGGTGACATTTAGCTTTCAGTCTGTATTTGTAATCTGTAACGTTTCGTGTCGGTCCGCCTGATAGTGACATGTTACTGGGGTCATTCTAGAATGCCAATCCTTCTACTGATTGGCCGCGTTCCGTGGACACAGAGCAGGCGGCGCGGTGTCGGGCTTTTCAGTAGAATGATTTGGCGGCGATGGAGCGGCCGGCGCTTCGTATTCCGGGTGTCGCGTGGTTTATGGACCGTCCCTCCTTTTTATTCATCCGAAAAATCAGAAAATCTATTTATATTAAATGAATTTACAAGGACCACAGAATAGCTGAAATTCACTTCAGGGATATGGAGGGTTCACAACCACGCGAAGGGTGAAGTCACTGGACTGATACATGGAGATGAAACCAATCCTACATAAGTTGTACCTGTTTATCTGCAGCCTTCTCTTCTTTACATCCCTTCAAATTGAAGGATTTATAAAGCTTGTCTGAGAATTCAGAAAGTGGGGCGGGGAGCTGAAATTAAACACTGCAGAGCTCAGTGAGGAGAGCTCTGAGCTGATTTGGAGGGAAGGGACACACCTCTCTGCACACTGCAACAAAGCTGAGGTCAGTCAGAAAAAGGGGACGGGGAGCTGAAATTAAACACTGCAGAGCTCAGTGAGGAGAGCTCTGAGAGCTGATTTGGAGGGAAGGGACACGCCCCTCTGCACACTGCAATAAAGCTGAGCTTGTCAGTCACAGGCTGTGTGCTGGAGCTCCCTCTTCTGTCATAATTTTTCTCTCAGTCTCAGGAAAACCTGTCAGAAGTGACTCATGCTGATAGTAGAGGAATGAGGTAGCAGACAGAAATTATTATTATTATACAGGATTTATGGCACCAACAGTTTGCTCAGCGCTGTACAATATAACGGGAGACAATACAGCAACAATACAGTTCAGTACAGAAGGAATAAGAGGGCCTGATCCTGGGAGCTTACAATCTAACGGAAGGGGGAGGGATACAAAAGGTGATAACTGCGGGGGAAAGGACACTCAGTGCTCTGGACTGGGGCAAGGACACACTTTAGAGGGATGTGCTTGGTTCAGATTTCATGTCTGAGGGTTACAACCATTTGAAAGTGAATTACATGGTTGACCCCAAAGCTTACATTCTCCTGTTGCATCATGGGTACTGTTCCCCCCCCCCCCCCCACCCTTTTGAGACCTACCCACCTATACTGATCCGGCATCACTGTCCCATACAAGTCATACATTTTCACATCCCACACACCTGTAGGATTGTTGGAGGCGAGGCGTAGTTATCACAAGACAAACCAGGCGGCGAACGGGGGGTGGCAAATTTCATGAGGGCGGCCCCGGCTTCCCCGAGGAATGCCCCTTCCCCTGAACTCCAGGCCGACTCACCTGTCCCCAGCATGTCGTAGGAGCGCGCTCTGCCCCATCCTCTTCCTCTGGAGCCGCTCTTCACTGAGCGCCGCCGCTGTGGTCACGGAGCATGGCATCCCGGGCACAGCGGGCACAGCACAGGGCAGTGCTTGGATAAGGGAGACTGTAGGCTGGGGAGGTTGCTGTCAGATCAGAACGGGGAAAGTGATGGTGGTGCTCACTGTTGGGGGGGGGGGGGGGAGTTTGTGGGGTCCAGCGGCGGGGTGCTGGTGGGGTTGGATGTGCGGAACCCGATTTTTAGTGTTGCCAAGGGCAGCACAAGAGATCAATACCCCACCGATTGGAGGTTTAGCCGCGGTTCACGCTGGATCTGACTTTGAAGTCGCACAATTTCAGAGTTACATAGTTAGTCTGGCTGAAAAAAGACAAAAGTCCATCCAGGTCAACCATTAAAAAAAAAAGAAGAAAAGCGTTGGATGGCTGTGCGACTTTGGATGCGACTTCATAGACATCTGTGCGGCTTCATGCAAGTCGTACCCCAAAGTGTTGCAGGAACGACTTTTCTCCATCAAAGTCGCACCGATTAGAACCGTTCCATTGCCGATCATTGCTCCCACCAGACTGCTAATACATATTTTTTTTTTCCTTTCCATTTTACATATCTCATTTTATGTCTAGTGAGGTCATTGTTGAGTCTCTGTGTCTCTCTATGCAGAATGGGCAGCTCTTGGCTGGTGGGAGGGGCCAACACCAGTGTCAGTCTGGAGGAGTGTGGGCGTTCCTAGGCATGCTGCAGACCCTAGTTAACGCCCACATGCGTTGCTTTGCCTTCATGACTGAAAATGACATGAACTGGAATCCAATGAGTGAAAGGGGGAAGGCCAAGGACAGGCTGGGGGAGGAAGGTGTGGGGCTGGGGAGTAAAGCACTAGATGATGCTGGACGTCCTCCAGCCAGGAAATGAGGTGGAGCTCTATATGCCTGGCTGCAGCTTCTAAAGCACATTGAAGCTCACAGTGTGCAGTGACATCAGAAGACATTTCAGTCCAGGAGAGGATCCAGTATACCTGTGAAAGACTGAAGGGGAGGAGCCGGTACAATTGTGCGAGGAATGAAGGGGAGGAGCCGGTACAATTGTGCGAGGAATGAAGGGGAGGAGCCGGTACAATTGTGTGAGGAATGAAGGGGAGGAGCTGGTACATCTGTACAAGACTGAAGGGGAAGAGCCGAGACAATTGTGCAAGACTAGAGGGGAGGAGCCGGTACAGCTGCGCGAGAATGAAGGGGAGGAGCCGGTACAGCTGGGCGTGACTGGAGGGGAGGAGCCGGTACAGCTGGGCGTGACTGGAGGGGAGGAGCCGGTACAGCTGGGCGTGACTGGAGGGGAGGAGCCGGTACAGCTGGGCGTGACTGGAGGGGAGGAGCCGGTACAGCTGGGCGAGACTGGAGGGGAGGAGCCGGTACAGCTGGGCGAGACTGAAGGGGGGTCGGAGGGAGGTTAGTCCAGGTCTCATTTCCTGTACAGGCTCTTGATGTATCTGCTGTACACAGTAGTAGTCCGTTCTTTCCTCTGCCTTGTGACTCCCCAGGTCTGGCCGTGTGTTCTGTGACATTAATCTCTCGTTTCTCCCCCTGTAGGTTCATGGGCGTCTGTGTTCACCAGGGCCAGCTGCACGCACTGATTGAGGTAAGATGTCACTGATGGCCGCCATCGGCTGTCTTGCTGCTCTTTTCTTGTGTGACAGTAACTGCCGGATCTGACATGTGAGCGGCTTCCGTGTGAAATCCCCCCGACACCCTCATTGGGCAGTCAGGCCGCCTCCACACTGCATCGCTGCTAAATCGCAGGACGCATTTGTGCTGAATAGGAGCCCCTGGATGGCCAAGAGCTGGATGTAGGGCTATAGTTTGCCTGATATCATCCACCTCACCACCCGCTCCACCTCTGCCACCCCCCTCTGCCTCTCCCTCCACTGGCTCCACCCCCCTCTGCCTCTCCCTCCACTGGCTCCACCCCCCTCTGCCTCTCCCTCCACTGGCTCCCGATTGCCCAACGCATCAAATTTAAACTCCTAATCCTGACCTACAAAGCCGTTCACAACACTGCCCCTGACTACCTCACCAACCTGATCCCCAAGTACCACCCTACCCGTACCCTTCGCTCCTCACAGGACCTCCTTCTATCCTGCTCCCTGGTCTCCTCCTCCCATGCACAACTGCAAGACTTCTCCAGGTCCTCCCCTATCCTCTGGAACTCACTGCCCCAATCCATCCAACTGTCGCCTTCCCTCCCCACATTCAGGAGCTCCCTGAAACCCCATCTCTTCAGGGAAGGCCTACCCCACCCTCACCTAACGGCCATTCTCCCTCATTCCTCCCACCACTTCATCCACCTCAGCCACTTCCTCCTGTACCACTACCCCCTCCCTCCTAGATTGTAAGCTCGAAAGAGTAGGGCCCCCTTACCCCTCGTACGTTGTTTGTTGTTGTACTGTGCCATGTATTGTCCCCCCTATTGTACAGCGCTGAGCAAACCCTTTGGCACTATATAAACTCCATGTAATAATATCGGGGCCGGCTCTCCGCTATCACTCCTCTCCGTTCCATGAATGGTGCGCTTGGTTCTGGGTCTCAACAGGCAGCTCAGCGGCGGGGAGGACAGTGATTAGCGCAATATATTGTGTCGCAGAAATGTATTTCACAAAAAGCAGAACTCGCGTTCCATCGAAGCCCCCTGACCCTGACCACCACCTGCGCGCTGCGCTTCTTCCTTGCATCACTTTCTCACTCCTTTTTTTTTTTTTTCTTTTTTATTCTTTGTTGTCCAACAATTCTCCATCATTAATCCCCTCCCCTTGCTGTTCTTTTTTTCTTTCTTACTCTTTCACCTCCTCCTCCTCCTCTTTTCTCTCTCCCTCTCTTCTCCCTACACTCTCTTTTCATGTGCTCGCTCTATTTTCGCACTATTTTTCTCTTTTTGTGCACTCACTCTCTCCCCTCGCTCGCTCTCCCTTCGCTCGCTCTCCCCCTTCGCTCGCTCGCTCTCCCCTCGCTCGCTCTCTCCCCTCGCTCGCTCTCTCCCCTCGCTCGCTCTCTCCCCTCGCTCGCTCTCTCCCCTCCCCTCGCTCGCTCTCTCCCCTCGCTCGCGCTCGCTCCCCCTCCCCTCGCTCGCGCTCGCTCCCCCTCCCCTTGCTCGCGCTCGCTCCCCCCCTCCCCCCTTGCTCGCGCTCGCCCCCCTCCCCCCTTGCTCGCGCTCTCTCTCCCTCCCCCCTTGCTCGCGCTCTCTCCCTCCCCCCTTGCTCGCGCTCTCTCCCTCCCCCCTTGCTCGCGCTCTCTCCCTCCCCCCTTGCTCGCGCTCTCTCCCTCCCCCCTTGCTCGCGCTCTCCGTCCTCGCGCTCTCTCCTCGTCCGGAACAAGTGTGTGCCCAACCTGGAACCTTCCTTTACCTAACAAAGTCCCAAATAATCTGCCCATAGTCAGCAGCTTCTTCCCTCTGGGTCCCGCTATAAATCACACGGACATTTCATTCAGTCACACCCGCAACATTCCACACACGGATGGTTAGTGAGGACGGGCGCCTTCTGACACTCATGTGAACTCTCTGATGTATTTTTAATTTGATGTTCTACAAACCGCCTTCCTCTGATCTACAGCCAGACTTCTATATACTATAAAGCCCTTTTCCTGAAAAAGGAGCTTACACTCTAATGCCCCCACTGTAGCCATGACATATCCCGCAGCGCTGTACAGAAATCACTGAGCCAGTCCCATTAGTCTCCGTACCAGAGGAGCTGACACTCTAATGTCCCCTCCCCCCAGTCACATCAGTCTCTGTACAGAGGAGCTGACGCTCTAATGTCCCCTCCCCCACAGTCCCATCAGCTTCTGTACCAGAGGAGCTGACACTCTAATGTCCCCTCCCCCCAGTCACATCAGTCCCTGAACCAGAGGAGCTTACACTCTAATGTCCCCTCCCCCACAGTCCCATCAGCTTCTGTACCAAAGGAGCTTACACTCTAATGTCCCCACCACAGCCATGACATTTTCTGCAGTAGTATTTAATTATAGACACATCCTGTAAATGATGTAATAACTGCTCACATGTTTCAGCCTACAGCATATTATTCATATCTATGATTAGCCCGTGTAGGCTGAAACGCGATAGCGGTTACTCTGTGAAGATGTCTCCATAATACAGTCCTCCTGAAGGGAGAAGGGGGTGCTGTGTCCATAATAGTCCTCCTGAAGGGGGTGCTGCTGTGTCCATAATAGTCCTCCTGAAGGGGGTGCTGTGTCCATAATATAGTCGTCCTGAAGGGGGTGCTGTGTCCATAATAGTCCTCCTGAAGGGGGTGCTGTGTCCATAATAGTCCTCCTGAAGGGGGTGCTGTGTCCATAATAGTCGTCCTGAAGGGGGTGCTGTGTCCATAATATAGTCGTCCTGAAGGGGGTGCTGTGTCCATAATAGTCCTCCTGAAGGGGGTGCTGTGTCCATAATATAGTCGTCCTGAAGGGGGTGCTGTGTCCATAATAGTCCTCCTGAAGGGGGTGCTGTGTCCATAATAGTCCTCCTGAAGGGGGTGCTGTGTCCATAATATAGTCGTCCTGAAGGGGGTGCTGTGTCCATAATAGTCCTCCTGAAGGGGGTGCTGTGTCCATAATTGTCCTCCTGAAGGGGGTGCTGTGTCCATAATTGTCCTCCTGAAGGGGGAAGGGGGTGCTGTGCTCCCTCAATCGCTTATGATCCACATCTACTCACACGGCCATTTAGGGCTCATGTACACGGGACGTTTGGAAACTCTTCTCAACGATGGAAACTTACTGCTGGAAAATGGAGGTTAAAAATATGTCAGTTTAGCCGCGTTTGCATACCGCGTTTATTTGCATTTAGAAGCGTTTTTAAAAGATAACATCAAGAGACCTTCCAAATGCCCAGAATGCACTGATAAACAGTAAAAGAATTAACTATTTCAGACATTTTGAGAGGAATAGGGAGAGCAGAGAGCAGAGGGGGAGCAGAGAGCAGAGGGAGAGCAGAGAACAGAGGGGGAGAGCAGAGAACAGAGGGGGAGAGCAGAGAACAGAGGGGGAGAGCAGAGAACAGAGGGGGAGAGCAGAGAACAGAGGGGGAGAGCAGAGAACAGAGGGGGAGAGCAGAGAACAGGGGGGAGAGCAGAGAACAGAGGGGGAGAGCAGAGAACAGAGGGGGAGAGCAGAGAACAGAGGGGGAGAGCAGAGAACAGAGGGGGAGAGCAGAGAGAGCAGAGGGGGAGAGCAGAGAACAGAGGGGGAGAGCAGAGGGGGAGAGCAGAGAGCAGAGGGGGAGAGCAGGGGGAGAGCAGAGAACAGAGGGGAGAAGCAGAGGGGGAGAGAGCAGAGGGGAGGGGGAGAGCAGAGAGCAGAGGGGGAGAGCAGAGGGGGAGAGCAGAGGGGGAGAGCAGAGGGGGAGAGCAGAGAACAGAGGGGGAGAGCAGAAACCGAGAGGGAGCACAGGGAGCAGTATGTGTGGAGATGACCGGTCTTCTCTGGTTGTAGTCACTATGGATCCCATGAGCACAATGCGGCGCGTTCTACCAATTTTTTCCTTCACGCGAAACATGAAACAAACTGCGCCGGTGTACCGGGTCCATTTAAATACATGGGGAAACTCTGTGCATGCATTTCTGATGATGGAAAAAGCATCCGGACAGCATGTGGACATGGAACCGTTAAAAAAAAACGCTTCTAAACGCGGTTAGCCGCGTTTTCAAGCGTTTGCCATTTGAAACGGCGGTAAAATCTACTTTTTTTTTTTGTTGAAAAATATACTTTATTTACAGAAGTATAAAAAAACACGATACTCGTGATCGGAGTACATCTCACCCCGTACTGCGACGCAGCGCATAATACACCACGTTACAATACAGTTCCAGACATACAATAAATACATTCACTCAGCGGTATGATGCCTGACGCGGTGTGCGTGGCGGACGAATCCCCAGACCATCACGTCATGCATAACGCCGCTTACCCCCAGACTGTTTGTGGGCCCCCTAGGTTACCCCCCAGGGACGCCACCGCATAATACCATAACATGCATAAAAACATTTTCAGAATATACAAAATCATGCACATTCAAACAAGTACAAATTCCAACAAGCGTCGGGTGGGGGGGGGGGAAGAAAGAGGGGAAAGGGGTCACAGGCCCGAAGCTTTATTGAAGGGACAAAGACACGCAAGGGGGAGTAGAGGGAAGGGGAGACCTTCCTCCTTAAAGTCCATCAAGTTATAGTCCCTGAGCAGACTGAGGATCAGTCTGCGGCAGTCCTCGATGGACATCCTCTCCCGCTGGTGGATGAGGCGCTTCCTGGCGCACCATAAAGCGTCCTTAAAACAACACAGCACCCGCCAGGCGCTGTCAATGTCCTCCAGGGTAAAAGTTCCACAGAAAAGTCCATTCAACACCACAAAGTGTGTGATGGCTGTCTGTGGCACAAAGTCCTTGAGTTCAGGTTCCAGGGCCCTCAACAGGTCCTGAGCAAAAGAGCACTCCCAGAAAACGTGGTGAGACGTTTCCTCATGGATGATGCAGAAGGGGCAGTGTCTGTATCTGCTCAGGTTCCTGGCATGCATAAATGTCCTGAGAGGCAACCCCCCTTAGATTGCCATCCATGCCAGGTTCTTGTGCCTGTTGGTGAGGATGTTTGA